AATTAAATAATTAATATATATTTTTAAATTTGGGTGAAAGTCCTTTTATGCAAGTAGTGAACTTTTATGTACCATTTGATATAAAACATTAAAAATAAGATGTAGGAGTTGGTATTATGATTAGAAAGATCTATTAAAAGAGTGTTTAGTATGAGAAACTGCTTATTACATGAAACTGAGTAAATCCATATAACAAGTAATTACCTATACTAATTATTTTTTAATAATTTTTCTCAATTATAATATTAATTTTTATCTTTTATTTTTAATATCTCCTAACAAACGGGACGTTAAAGTTTAGGTGGTAATTAATGTGACGAGTGAATGTAGTATATACAAAACGCCCCATAGATTACATACAAAAATCCTGTAAAAAGGGTGGGGGGTTAGTGGCATAACTAAGAAATAGGATTTGCAGGAAACTATTTTAATAAGTGAGGGCATAAAGTGAAAAGTATTTGGTCACAAAAGGTCTTCTCACAAGAAAGTGAAGGCCTCAGAAGAAGACACTTTGACACCATGCCTTTTTCTTTTACCTTCATGTTTCCTCTCTCTATGTATTTTAAGTAGGGCGAGTTGAGAAATTAATACAGAAAAAACGTCCTTAATTTTTGTGTGTGTGTTCCTTCTGCTGTGCAAATTCAAATCTTCAATGCTAAATTATAACACTAATCCAAAAGCACAGAAGCAACAAAATTGATTGCTCTCTCTCTCTCTCTCTCAGGAGCTTTTTTGTGAAAGATTCCGTTTCATTTTTACCAGGAGGAGGAGGGTGGTGGAGACGCGAGGAAAAGGCGCGTGGAGAAGGAAGGGGGGCAAAACCAGATGGGCAATGAGTGGCAACCCGTTTTGTCCGGGTTATCCGAGATAGGGTCTGGACCATCAGAATTATGGACTTGTAGGGTAGCCTCCGCTGCTCCCCTCTCTCTCTCTCTTCCCCCTCATTCCTCTTTCTCTCTCCTATTTTCTCCTTAAAGTAAATATCACATTCACCCTCAGCGCCCCCGTCCCCCAAAATCGGATTTTTTATTTCATTATACTGCCTTCTCGGATCCTAAATATAAAAATTAACTGAATAATTTAAAAATACTAAAAAAATAAATTAAATTAGTTATTTATAATAAATAAGTATTATTTTTTAAAAATATCTTTACTAATCAAATATATTGACTAGAACTACTATTATTAAAAGGATTACCTTAAAAAAAAATATAAATATAAGAGATAAAATAGATTGGGATCTTATATTTAGAATCAAAATAAAAGTCAAATAAAATCTTATATTAAAAACTAGAGGTAGCATTAAATTTACATTAATAATTCTCTTAATAAAATGCTTACAATTTCTTATTACAGAGTCACCATCATATGCTTAAACTTTCTTGTCAAAAAAAAAAGAAATATAGCAGGATTTTTCATTTATATCCATACATAATGCTCCTCCGATCCTTAATATAAGACACGTTTAACTAATTTAATTAGATTAAGAAAATTAGGTATATTAGTTAATTATAAAAAATGTGACACGTTTTTTCTAAAACATTATAATCATCTTTCTTAATACCCCCTCTCCCTCTTCTACTTGATTATGATTTAGATTTAGAGAAAATTGATAAATATGAGTAATGGATCTTATATTTAAAATCAAAACCAACTCAAAAATTAGATCCTATATTAATGACCAGAAGAGTATTAAATTTAAGAGTAGCTTATCTCACTACAAAGTCTAGAGGCTAGTCATATCCTTAAAATTTTATGAGCACTACAAGGGTTGGAATTTTAAATTTTTACTTACATTCTTATTGAATAGTGTGAGATGACTTCAGTTCAGTTTTAAATTTTTGTGCATGACTTTAATTCATTTTAATGTTAAACATTTTTCGGCCAGTGTAAACTAAAATGACGTTGAAAGTAAGAACTAGTTGAATCTATCGAGATTACATTTCCAATAATAAAATTTAATCGGCATCAATGTATCCATACAATCCGTATTAATATATATAATAAAATTCATAACAAGTTATAATATTTATAAAATATTCATCACACCATATAACAAGTAAAAAGGAATGTGTGGTTTTATGATAAATCATTAACATTGAACATTTTTTCCTAAAAAATCGCACGCATATTTAAGATGATTTAAAGTTAAGGGGAGATAAAACAGAGAGGGGTGAGGAAGTGTAGATATGAATAGGATGAATTACTGTATTGTTTCAAACAAGAAATATAATTACTAACAACTTTTAACAACAACAAATGACAAGTTTTAAAATAATAAATAATAAATATTCTCTTATTACTGGGATTTACTAGTAATTGCGGAGTATTTTCTTTTTTGCAGACCTTGTAATCCTGCCATATAAATATCTTTGTTGCTTATTTTTCAAAAGGTAAAAAACGAGACAACCGATGTGTATTTTGCAAATATACATAATGAGAGTCATAATGCCACAATTAGGGGGACCGTGGAGCAATACGTAGCGCTTTTTTTGCTTCTAAAAAAGGAAAAAGAAAAAACGCAGTGGTGTTATAGGAGAATGAGATGATGCTTGTTGTTGTGGCGAGATGGATGAGTGTCATAAGTTGTGCCTAATTCTGCTTTTCTCAAACAATATTATGATCCCACGCCTTTTTCGCATTTTAGATAGCAACATGGCATTCCATGAAAGCTCTTTCTCAACCTCTCTCTTAAATGTCAATTCATAAAGAAGCCCCCATCACCGTTGGACGCTTCATTAATGATGAAGGCAGTTGAAAAATAGCAGCACACTGTCATGAACACTCATAGTGGGAAGGTTATTTTGAAGCAAGGATTCTTCCACTTTAAGTCTTTAACTATTAATCTTTTGGGGTGTGATTTTTTCAACAACCTCTGCTCGTGAGGGGCTGACCAAAGCAGGTGTCTTAACATTATCTTTTAGTTGGAAAAGAAAAAACAAATGAGCAATTTTCCTTGGAAAAATTAAAAATTTTCTTTAACTTTTACTGAGCACAAAACACTGTTACTCTCTAAATTTTTTATGCATAGATAGTATTGATACTTTAATTTAGATTCTTCTAACGAATACAATTTTCAGTGAAAGATTTTTCCCCACTTCTCTTATTTTTCTTCGTTTATATAAAATATTTTATGCAAAGAACCGGAGGTGCGCGGTTGAAATTCAGATCTTATTGGTAATAGGAAAATTTTCCTTTATATCTTTTGCAAAGTAATAATACTTTACACATAAGAATACGTGTATTTTAGTTCAAGTTATTATTAGTGATAAAATTTTCAATGACCCCCCCCCCAAAAATTTCTCGTCTTTCTCCGTCTGCATGGAAGATGTTTCAAATATTTTGTGTAAAGAATCAGAGGAATACTGTTCAATTCCAGATCTTATTTATTCATAGGTAGGTCATAGCAAAAAATAAATGGAGAAAAAGTTTGATATATAGAGAGACACAATCTAAGTTGTAGGCATGGGCATTAATGATTAACTAACATGTCAAATATAAAAAGCAACGAATAGCTCCAAATTTGCAAAGGGTGGCCTAAGATGGCTTTTATGATCTTAGGCTAGGAAGCATAAATATAAAACTTTTCATTAATTTCCCAATTCCCTAATTGGTTAGGCACAATGACCCGGATTTGCCATTGCTTTTTGTCTAAGAAAACAGCTAATAATTGTGACAGGACTGTAATGGTAAAGTCAAAACTAATGGTAGGCAAAGTAATTAGGCCTTTCTAAAGTGAAAAAAGAGAAGATGATTTTGCTTAAATTAAAAAAAATAAAATAGTACGCTACTTTCAAACGATCGCCAGCCCCATTTTATCTCCCACTTGTCCATGTTTTGCTGCTAACTCTCATCATTAATCACCAAAGCCTGCCAAACCCTAACCTGAGAGCAACTAAAGATATTCTTATTCTCATCATCTCCTACATACTGGTTAGCCCACTCAGATGAATTTTACAAATTCGGACAAAAACCCTTATACAGAATTGCAGAAAATGGTAGTAGTACAATAGCCTGTGTTGTTGGTCTCTCGGGTTCGTACTAGCAAAGAACAGGGTACCAGAATAAGGAGGAGGATCCGTAAAAGGTTGAACGGCACGGTCAACAACACAAACAAAATCCCCACACAACCCATGTAGAGAAATGAGATCAGGGGCTTAATTTCTCAGAGAGAGCTTCAAATTTTGGAAGATGATAAGGGAGAGGAGGGCATAGGTGTGAGATTTGGCGGAGTAGAAGGGGACAGAATATACATCCGCCCGGAAATACAGGACGCCGTACAGTCATAAATACTCTTTTTGATTCAGTTTCTCGTGAATTTTTTTTCATTATTGGAATTTAACCAACACAATAGCCTCACGAGTGAGGCACTACAGTCTTGATTCTTTATTATCGCTCTTCTTCTCTCTCTCTTTCTCTCTCTGTCTCTGCCACACATCACACCCAAACAGTCGCAGCATTGCAGGTTTGCAGCAATTGCAGGCAGCACTGCTGCTGCAGCAGCAGCTTCACAGCCTACAGACAAGCAAAAGAAAGAAAAGAGAAATGAGTAAGGCAGGGAAGAGGGAGAAAAGGCCATTTTTATGAGACTCCAACTTAAATCACAATGAAAGCTTGATTTGATGCAAACCCAAAAACTCCCCATTCAGTCACTCATTCAGTCTCCTCAGCGAGAAAAAAGTTAAAGAAAGAGCCCAAAAAAAGAAACAAAGGAAAATTAGCAGAGAGTGATAGGTCAGTGGGAGGTGAGAGAGAGAGACACACAGAGAGAGAGAGAGAGAGAGTCTCTTTCTTTTTGGAGTATTGGGTCAGCTTCTTTTGGCAATGCCAAAGGTGCTCCCACCTCACGCTCTCTGAAAATGCTCAGGCATGAAATCACTCTCTTGAAATCCCTCCTTCCTCCAAGGCTTTTATCTCCAGCTTTTGCGCAACCCTCTTCCCTTTGTTGTTAGATTCTTTAGCATTGTCTCTAGGGCTTTGTTTCCTGTCATGGGTTTGATCGATCTCAACACTACTGAGGACGACGAAACGCCGTCGTCGGGTTCCTCTGCTTCATTGTCCTCTCACTCCGGTAATAGCATTTCGGCCTCCACCTACCCTTCTCCTTCGTCCGTGTGCTTGGAGCTATGGCACGCGTGCGCGGGTCCAATGATTTCGCTACCAAAAAAAGGAAGCATCGTGGTTTACTTCCCACAGGGCCACCTTGAGCAGCAGGCTCAGGATCTTCCGGTCTCCGCTTACAATATCCCACCCCATGTTTTCTGTCGCGTTGCAGATGTTAAGCTCCATGTAAGTGTTCCATGTTTCTTTACCTTTTCTGTTTTATTTGTATGTTCAGAATTCGATTTCGTTATGTGGGTAAAATGTAGGGTTTCTGTTACGCCGCTTAGAAAATTGATGTTCTAAGAACTGTAAATTGCTTATGTTTTGTGGTTATGCACTGTTTAAGTGCTTGAAAAAATATATCTTCTGCTGCTATTTCTTTCTTCTCTGCATTAATATTCGCTACATACAAGCCATATTGAAGGTAACCAGAATATGGTTTATATTAATTTTAAGCAAAATACGTGTGCTTTTTTCCTGTGCAGGCGGAGGAAGGTATAGACGAGGTGTACTGTCAGGTGTCGCTGGTTCCTGAAAGTGAGGTGAGCTATCTTTTCTATGGTTGTTTGATTTGTTTGATTGTTTGGGGGAGATGCTGAAAAAGGAAGGAAAACGAGGAATCTTAGCATGTTAATCGTGAATTCGTAAGGTGCCTAGTCTTGAAACATATGATGTTGGCTAAAAAGACCGTTTATGATGCTATGATAGAGTATGGTGTTGTAGTACAAGTTATGTTTATAGGATTAGATAGGTCCTATCAGGGTGCCATACACAGCCTTGTCCTCAGTCCCAGTTTTGGGTCCGTCAACAACCCCACCAGAGGAAGAAGGTGGTTAAATATAAATATAACCGGCTTATTACAATAGGAGAGAAAGACAGTTGAAGAGATAATAGAGTACCTTATACGTTTGGTTTAAAATTTGCATAAACTTGATCATTGTCATAGCAAGCTGAAAGAAGATTTCGGGAAGGTGAAATCGATGCTGACTGTGAAGATGAGGATGCTGCAGCTGCAGTGAAGTCTACAACGCCACATATGTTCTGCAAGACCCTGACAGCTTCTGATACTAGCACTCATGGGGGATTCTCTGTGCCTAGGCGTGCAGCTGAAGATTGCTTTCCTCCGCTGGTAATTATGCTTTATGATTTCTTTCTTCCCCTCCTGTTAGCGTGACCCTGTTCTTGTGTTTATTTGGTCATTTTATTGGGGCTTAACCTTTTGCTTAAGCTGTTCTGTAACCAGAACTGTGTTTGTCTTTCTATATGAATGCTTAAACGGTTATTCGGTGGTAATTTTGGTGAATTTTTATTTCAGGATTACAATCAACAGCGTCCTTCGCAAGAACTTGTGGCAAAGGATCTGCATGGCCTGGAGTGGAAGTTCAGGCATATTTACAGGGGTGTGTTACTTGTGTCATGTTTTCTCATTCCTATGTTTGAGGCTATAATTTCTGGAGTTGACTTGAAAAATGTGTCCTGTTCTGGTCTCTATTTTGGATGTTTGAATATATGAGCAGGGCAGCCTCGCAGGCATTTGCTTACAACTGGTTGGAGTGCATTTGTAAACAAGAAGAAGCTTGTGTCTGGAGATGCTGTACTGTTTCTGAGGTATAAAGAGTTGATTCCACCAAACATTGATTAATTTTCTCAAACATGGATAACATTTTAAATTTTATGCCAGGGGTGAAGATGGAGTTCTGAGATTAGGGATTCGCAGGGCATCTCAGTTGAAATGTGGTGCTAACTTTTCAGTTCCCGCTGGCCTGCATCTTAATCCCAGCAGTTTCATGGATGTGGTCAATGCAATATCTGCAAGATGTGCCTTTAGCGTTTGCTATAATCCAAGGTAGTTTTCTGCTTCCTTTGCTTTTTCTTCTGCAGTAAATACAAATATGATCCTATTTTGTAGAGCGTAATGCTGGTTAAAATGCATGACTTCGGAAGGGTGTTTTGCTAAGTTACCCCACATGCACCGAACTCATCTTGACTCTTTCTGTTTTGTCAGTTGTTGCTTCATTTCTTATTGATAGTTCTGACAGTTTTACATGTTTTCGATGATTCATAGTGATGCCTGCCAACCTTACCACTTTTATTTCGCCGTAACCTACTAGCGCTTTGACCTGCTAGCCAACCAGCGTACAGTTTTCAGTTCTTAATCCAGCCTTCAAGCTGATAACTAATGATCCAAAATAATATCACAAGAACTCCTTGATATGGCTAATGTTGCTATTTTTATTGCTAATGCATTGTCTGGCTGAGTTAATTCCACAAGAAAACCGAATCTTGATGGAAAAAATGAGTTATAATCGTACTGTAGAATTTAGGGCCTATTGTCTGAGTTTATGAACACTGGTCGAACAGTGCAGCCTGAGATGTGTGTCTGTGGGGTTTAAGCCTTCGTTAGTTGTCTGTGGTCCACTAAGTAGTAGTCACTATTCTCTGATGTTTTTATTTGTTGCTACCTTTGTTTTCTGATTAGGGTCTTCCACCTAATATTTGTGGTTTGATTGTAGGGTGAGCTCGTCAGAGTTCATAATTCCACTCAACAAATTTTTGAAGGGCCTTGATCAATTTTATTCAGCTGGAATGAGGTTCAGGATGCGTTTTGAAACTGAAGATGCTGCAGAACGAAGGTTTGTCTTGCATGTGTTACAGCATTTAGATAGTGTATCAGCAGCAAATCTTAGATTTTTTTTCTTTTTGGGCAGGTGCACAGGACTAGTTGTTGGAATTGGCGATGCAGATCCTGTTAGATGGCCCGGATCTAAATGGAGATGCCTTATGGTATGGTCTTGGGATCATTTTTTCACTTTAAATATTGTTTAGATTTACATGTGTGGGATTAGTTTGTTACTTTACATGCATGTGACTGTGGTGTGGCCCTGCGGCAATAATTCACTAAACATGAAACAAACAAGCGAAATGTAACAAAAACAGCAATAAATGAGGAAAAATCCTGAGGCTTTGATATTAATATTCAAATGTTGAATCAAAGATACATCAAGCTTCAATAATTCAAGCCAAAGCCCTATTTCCCTCTAAACCAAAATGAACACAGCAGCAACTACTCAACAAAAGATTACATTGAGACATGAGGAACATAGCTAGCACTCTCCCATGGTATTCGAGAGGCCAGGTCTCTCCCTCCCCAACACACTTCAACAATAAGTCCTGAAAACAATCCAGTTCCATTACAAAGCAATGTAGTCTCCCAAAAGTAGTCCCACACACCCTACAAGGTTTTAGACTCAAAAGACTAGTAGCTTGCTGCAAATTAGAGTTGCTCCTCATTTCTTGGAGCTCTAGGATAAATGCTTTGACCAGTGGATTCATCTTCTTCTATCCTTGGCTGCTTCCGTAATTTCCTCCCATATGTCTTCCTAATACCAGCGGTTATCTCAGACTGCTTGAACTTCCAATTTGTAAGCCTCCAGGATCACTTTGCTTCATGACCTTTAAATAGATCTTATATTGCTAATCGTAGAGAATCCAGAAGTTTTTTCGCCTACTTGCTGCATCTCATTCCTTGTTTGGGGAGGGAGGCTGGGTAAAATATCTAATGACAAGGCTTCTGAAAGTGGCTTTTGACGTTGATTTTGGACAAATGAGGATATTTCCTTGATTACCAGCAGTTACCTAAATTTCAATAAAGTGGCTAGGATTCCGATTCTAGTCAAAATCACTTGTTACACAATGAATGAGTGACATAAACCCCCGTACTCACTCGTAGTTACACATTAACTTAGATTGCGTTTTCTTGTGGAATAAGGAATTTGTTCTAGTTGCACTTCCAACTTGGTTAGGACTGGCAGGTCGTACCTGTCAATAATTTATTCACACATGTCTTGTCTTTCATTTGAGGTACTAATTGTTATAACTGGTTGCTGGATGTTTCCCATCTTTGCAGGTAAGGTGGGAAGATATGGAAGCCACTAGGCATAACAGGGTTTCCCCGTGGGAAATTGAGCCATCCGGTTCTGCTTCCTCTCCCAACAACTTCAATGCAGCTGGTTTAAAGAGGACCAGGATTGGTTTGCCTTCTTCAAAACAAGAATTTCCAGTTCCAAGTTAGTCTATTAGGAAATCTTCTGGAGCTTTTAGTTTGTGTTATCCTTATACCTGTCACTTTTCTGATGCTTTATTTTCTGCTGTTAGATGGGATTGGGACACCAGACTTTGGGGAATCATTGAGGTTCCAGAAGGTCTTGCAAGGTCAAGAAATTTTGGGTGTTAATATTCCTTTTGATGGTATTAGTGCTCAGAGCCACCCCTTTTCTGAAATAAGTAGGCGCCATCCTGGTTCAAGCGTTTCTGGGATTGCCGCTACAGGAAATAATTTCAGAATTCCACAGGTGCATTCTGATGTTTCGTGCAATGGCATAGGCTTTAGTGAATCTTTTCGATTCCAGAAGGTCTTGCAAGGTCAAGAAATACTTCCAAGCCAACCATATGGAAGAGCCTTTTCTGGTAATGATGTTCAAGGAAATGGTCGCTATGGAATTTTCGACAGTTGTCAAGTGCCGCGTCCCAGGAATGGATGGGCTGCCTCAGTGCAGGATAATTCTGCCAATGTGCATCCTTCTGTTCCATCCGGGCAAGTGTCATCTCCATCATCGGTTTTCATGTTTCAGCAAGCAGCAAATCCTACTCCCAACCATGACTACCATAATAGCACTACAAATCAGAGGATGGAGAGTAAAATGCAACGTCGAGGACAGCACGCGTCTGAAATCAGAGCCGGAAAATTTGCATCGGTCTCATCTTACGGGCCTAGTTTCTGGGGGCATACTCAGGGAAGAAGTAAATCTATTGGCATGTTTGAGCATGGACAAATGGACACTTCACCATCTCATGATTCTGTATCACCGCGGAGAGATGGTCAAGAGCTGACTTCGTCCTATAAAAGTAGCTGCAGGCTCTTCGGTTTTTCATTGACTCAGGAAAATCACATTGCGAATTGCAAGTGAGGAGGCTATCCGCCAAGTCCCTTCCATGGCATTCACTAGGGAGCAAAGGTAGTCTGAGGCAACTGTACTTAAGTAAAAGCTAGCTGTTTTCAGTTAGAAACCTGATGTTTTCAAAGAAACCTGATATTTGATTGATGTGATGCTGATATTTGATTCAAGTAATGTGGTTACTTTTGCTGAATAGAACTCGGAGGTTTTCCAGCTGTATTCTTTTTATAAATGACGACTGTAATTGAAGCACTATATAAATTGTAGATGAGAACTCATTTTTGGAATTAAAATTAATGAGTAGGGGTTCTGGCTTGATCGCAAATATAAAATATTAATTTACTTTGTTTTTTTATATAATTTATTTTTTAAAAATATTTTTATGATTATACATGTTAATGGGATTTCTATTAAAGAGCAGATATTTTAAGGATGTCAACTTATGTTTGTTCGAAATAATTTTTTTAAAGAATTGGTTACTAGTTTTTATATTAGAAAGGGGAGATAATAATATGGGGAAAAGATACTAGAATATCGATAAAATTACTGAAAAACAGATTAGCCTAGGTGAATTTTAAAATTTCAAATTAAATTTTTTGTATTATTTTAGAATTTTAAAATATTTTGAAATGACAACACTTTATTTTTAGTGACCATTTTTAAAGTTTCGATGACTATTTTTATATAGCTATTGACTAAACAAAAAGAATTGTAAATAACTAAATAAAAAGTAGTCATTAGATCTCTAACAACACTTAATATATTTTTTGAATTTTTTAAATAAAGATAGTCAATAATAAAATTAGAGTAGTCAATAACTAAATAAAAATAGTCACCAAAATTTTAAAAATAAAAGTAATCAATCGTAGTACTAGAGTAATCAATAACTAAACAAAAATAGTCATCAGAGTTTTAAAATAAATAGTTAATAGTTTAAAGAGTATTAACATAGCAGTCACCGAAGTTTCAGTGACATGTTGCCGGAGCTTCAGCAATTGGCCACTAGCAGGGTCACCAGTGTCGGAATTCTTCTAGCCAGAAGTGTTGAGGTAGCAATATTTTTTTTTAAAAAAATAAAGGACATTTATGTAATTTGATAATATTTAAAAATTTTAAAATAGTACAAAAGGTCTAAATTAAAATTTTGAAATTCACTCGTACTGAATTGTTTTAAACAATGTAAAAAAAACCGGACCGGACCGGCCGGTTCAACCGGTAAACCGGTGAACCGGTCAGTGGTCCGGTTCGGTTCATAAGTTAAACCGGGGACCGGTTCAATCCGGTTTGAACCGGTGAAAACCGGTAAAAACCGGTATGAACCGGTATGAACCGGTAATGAACCGGTTTAAATAAATATATTGATATTTATCTTATTTTTTCTTATTTAACTCCTAATATCTCAATTATTATAGATTTAAATGAATTTTGATGATGAGTTTGGCATCAATAACTATTAATTTTAGTTATTGAAAAAATTATAAAGATCAAAATTCTCAATATTGTTGTACTTTATTATTATTACAATCAAATTCTTATTGTATTTCTTTATATTTTGTTATTAGTAATTATTATTATTGTTATATTTTGTCATTTTTAATTAAATTATATTATTTTAATATGACCGGTTTGATCCCGAGTTGACCCCGGTCTGACCCATTAACCCTTGAACCACTACCTCAACCGGTTTAATGTCCGGTCCGATTTTTTGTTCCTTGGTTTTAAAGCAATTTTTAAGATATTTTATTGTCTTTTTTTTTCACCTAATAATATTCGTAAATTATAGATAATACGTAACTAAAATAAATTGATGCTTTTTCCAGAGAGGGTCGCCTCTTGTGGGCTGGTGTTTTACCACTTGGGGGCTGCTTATAGCCCATGTTGTCATCTCCTCCCCATAGCCTCCCCAAAAGAGGAGAGCAATAAACTATGGTTTTGTGATTTGTGTCTGCATTGGACTAGGTCCACGTGGGATTGTAGGGCTTTGTCAATGCCGTTTGCTTTTATAAGAGTCTCGACACCGTACTGAATACCATTTTACATTAAAAACAAAAAGTACTGAGCACCAGAAGTTGCTTTGCAAAATTGATGTCTCGTTATTTTTTTTTGGGCCTCGGACATTACAAGAAAAAAGGCTGGGTGTAAACAGTTTCAGATCACTAGTATGATTGAACCCACCATCTCCTCCTTATATTTTACAAGAGAGTTACCACATCAATGAACAACAAGATTATTGACGTGTTAAAGCATTGTTAGCAATTACTCTTCTGATCCTATTTATAAGACAGAGAGAGACAATTTTTTTGTCCTATTTACAAGTCACTTTATTAAATTTTCAGCTTCAATGTACTATTTTGTCCCTTATTTATTATAATGTAAGTAGTTATCTCTTTTGAAAGGCGTATATATTAAATATGGGTAAAGTTAAAAAGTTATTATATTTTAATGGAAAGTTAATGTATTTTAAAAAAAAATTTGATCTGTGTCAAATATGCTGAAAACGCCTTATAAATAAGACCAAAAAAACACATGCAATGCATTCCAATGAATGCTAATGCCAGCTTTTCTTTTATTTTTTCTTTTTTAATTGTTGTGCGACAAGTTTATTCACCGAAGAGCAAATCAGTCAAAGGAACTAGAAAACCAAAAGGTGTGTTAAGCAAATGAGAATCTTTATTAATCATCTCAACAAATCACAATGACCATCAACAAGTCCTACACCCTATATATATGTGGGGCCTTAAAGGTAATAAAACCCGAGGCTTGCTTTGAACATCTAGAAAAATGAAGCATCCTAGAAATAACGGATCTATGTGTATATATATTTATTGATTTATTTTGAACATATTCCTAATGATGGTATCACCAAAATTAAATTACAGGCCATGCACGTTTCTTTGTAACGGGTAACGGCAGCCTTCAGACATCTTATCTAATTATTCTGTTTAGTACGAAACATTAAAAATAAGGGATATGGATTAGGATTATAACTAAAAAAAATCATTAAAATAATATTTAGTATGAGTAATTACTTATTACATGGGATTAGACAAACTCAAAGGTGGGATTGAGAAATACCACTTCCCTCTATGGTATTCCCCAATCCCACATACATTAGTTTGACTAATCTCATATAACAAGCAATCCTTAGGCTAAAGATTTTTTAATAGATTTTTTCAATTCTAATAATCCCTATCTCTAATTTTTAATGTTTTCTTACCAAACGCAACTTTTAATCCCATGGCACGACATGCTTACGCAGGCAAAGATTAATTACTTGATTTAATAAAACTGACTCCAGAATTAATTTCTTCTCAAGTCATGATTAATTAATTAGTTAAATATCTGGGGGCTTCCGTCATTTGCAACGTCATCAAACCTTGATTGAATGAGGCACAAGATATTATTATTATTTTGGTAATGCCATTTGGGGACCTCACGAAATAAAATTAAATAGGTGACCACATTCCCAGTCAAGATTAGACGAGAAATATAATATTTTTAAATCCAATTTTTCTGCAGTGCTGATGCGTTTATAAAAAGAACTGCTTACGGCCAAGTGCGTTTCGTGGTTATCCCACTTCTTTTTTTAAATTGCTGGATATTGATCTTTGTAAATCATAACATGAAATTTCATTAATTAACTTGATAAATGTGGTCCCTTTTGTACTTTCTTTATGGAACCGAAATAGAACAAGGAAGGTGCGTGTTTTTACTTTCACACGGATGAAAGCGATTGAATACAAAAGACAAGAGACCACAAATAATGCATACGTTAGGGGTTTGAATTTTTTTATTTTAAAAAAAATCCTTAATTCTATAAATTTTAACTTTTTTACCTATTTAAAAATATTGGATAATTTTAATTCAAGATTCTGATTTTATAAAAATAAATTCAAAAGTAAATAATTATAAGGAGTTCCCATTTTATATTACGAACAAAGCTACTTGCAATGAATTTCATACTTTACATTCGTATTTTTCGGCATATATTTTATATTGAAATTGATGAAAGTATGTGGTTAATAATTATAGTCAAAAAGGTTTCTGGGCAAAACATAATCATGATGCTCCAAATCATCCTATGGTTCTTTGTCGATGTGGATCGATAGAATCAGGTCCTCTGATCTGCTTAATTATGCAACCGTGATGAACCTGTTAATTAATCCAAAACTTCACACATGTATATTGTCAAGAGTAAATCATTTAATTTGTTGGCAGCGACAATTTACTTAATCTTAGTAAAACCTCATACAACTGATTTGTGGTCCATTTAATCCCTATATATAGTTGGTCAACTTTTTTTTTTTCCCCAATTTTAAACAATCCTTAGCCTAATATAAAAACTACATTTTTAAATGGTGTAGATGATTAGAACAACGAATTTCGTGATTTCTGAGGTGAATACATTCTAATTCCCATTTGCATTTTATTCTGAATGGGGCCTTTAAATTGGTTATCTTTTAGGGACTGTTTGGGTGAGAAAGAAAAACACCTTCAAAAAATGCTTTTATGTTAATTGAAATAAAATTTCTTGTACATACTTATTTCATATATCATAAAATTACTTTTCAATTTAAAATTTGGTTTTCGCCCAAACAATTTTTTTTTTACACACAAGTGTTTTTCTGTTAAAAATAACTACCACGAAGCACTAAATATGAATATTTTTTCAGGTTATTATAATTTTGTCTTAACTTCATTTTATAATGATAAAAATTAGGAGTTTAGATTTCTTTCCTAAAGTGTGATGATGAAATAGAGGTTATTGTTCTAATCAACACTTAATACACACATGCACCAATTCACACTTTTCATGGGATAAATAATTTGAGGAAATAAATGCAACATGTTTATATTATTGATTGATCACAAATTTTGTTTTTTTGGGAAATAATATGGTTCAATCTTTTTGCGTAAATTTGGCGATGTTTTGGTGGGGAAGTCATCTCTGCTTCTGCTTGCATAGTTGCATCAATGAAATGGACCCAGCAGATGGTAAAAGAAACACATGGAATTTTCCTAACAAAGTATTTCGTACCTTTGCCTTTTGAATCTTAACAAGCTCGTTGAAATTTGTACGCATGAATTTTCAGTTACCAACCAAACTGAAACTTCCTTCTCAAATTTCAAGTTTATAATATTTCCCACCGAACTTTTTCTTCACTCACTTTTACTCCTTTTACTTTAAAATATAAGATAAATTTTATTTATTTATGTTTATTAAGAAATTAATTAAAATCATTTTAAAACAATAAATACGGAAGGCATCTATTTTTTAAAAAAAAATATGCACTTATTAGTGAAAAGAATAAATAAAAGATGTAATAAATAAATCAAAGAAGAAGGAAAATATATATTACGGCTAAAATTGAAAAAAAAAACTTATTAAATGTTTAAACAAAAGTGAACGTTATCTTATAATAAAAAAAAAACTTCTATTGCAAAGTTTATCTTGTATTTTGAAATGAAGGAGTATCGTTTTTTGTGTTACCATTGCAAATAAAGATCAAGTTGTCCTTACTAAGTTAGTTAATTCTCAAATAAATTACCTACTTTATCTTTATATGATTGATGTGCTATATTTTAATCTTCACTTTGATTAGAGGGATTAATGAGCTTCAATAATTCTTGTAAGATCTCTTAGTAACAATTTCAATGATTGCTGGCCTGATGAATAAGAGAATTTGGGGTGCCACACTCCAACGTGAATTTAACTTTGGAATAAAAATACAAAAAACAAAACATACTGGTCCTATTTTTAGTTCTTTCTTCCTAATTTTTTTGGGTATACACAAAGTTTAAGTGAGTTGGGTTCTGAAGGTTTACCAGAGCCAAAGCATACCTCCAAGCTCAGAGAGCGCTTACAGAAGTACAGATCGCCCACTAACAAAGTCCTCACATCGGCAGCGAGATTCGAACTTACGACTTTATGGGTTATGAGTCGACTCCTTACCAACTGAACCAACTCTTGTTGGTCTTTCTTCCCAATTTAATCTACCAAGTCTTCCAATTCCAGGTCTTCCAGCCCACGCCAATAAAAAAAAACATTTTAAAAAAATCTAGGTTTTTACTTTAATTTTGTTATTAGTATTTCAAAAATACCCGTTATTTTTTTTTTCCCGAAAGATATAAATTTCAAACTGATGAAAAATAAAAGAAAACTATAGGCGCACCTATACGCTATCACATGGATAGCCTCATTGGCCGATCTTAGATAAGCCTGATACGGTTTATTTAAATAAACAACTTTTTTTTTTTAATAAAATAAACAGATTCACCTATGGAACCAACATATCAATGCATATATAATTCACCTCTACATGGTTTTTTTTTTGGGCGTGTTTATGGCCCATATGTTCACCTCTACAAGTTGTAGTCAATTTATAGAGATAAATAAAAATGACCACAGTTCCACTGAATAAAATGGAAAGCATAATGGGGAAAAAAGATCATCGTGAAGAGGTAATTCAATAAAACCAGCGGTGCTTAAATAATGATAAGATGTTATTGGATGTGAGATAATTGTATTTGCAGAAAAAAAAGAAAAAAAAGGGCCGTCTCAATTAAAACGTGGCGAGGTGCTGGACCAAGGAAGAGCATTTGAAATGGAAAGGCCGCGTCACCCTTCCACGAAGATGGCCCTTTCCGCATCACTTCCATTCATCTTGACCCAGCCAATGTTTTTTAATAAAAAAAATCTGGTACACGTCACGACCTGACCCAAGTGATCGCTGCTTACACGCCCGAAAACGACATGTCGGATAGACATCCCATGTTCTCTCCGGCGAATTGCTGCCACGTGGACAACGACGCGCCGATTAGAACCCCTCCTTCCCTGACCTGATCCTAAAGGAATTAGCCAATGTGGGCTCGTGACGTCGTCGTGTTGTTTTCCAAACGCGTCCCTGCCTTGGCGCACCGTCCGGCACTCCATTTTATTATTCTCACTCATTTCTCCTCCATTCATTTTAATTAATTTTACCAATTCCCTCACTTCACTGGCCGGCGCCCCTATTCCCTCTCATTAATTTATGCCATCACATTTTCCTCGCCACTTCCCACGACCAATTATTTATATATATATATATATATATATATCCATATATATATTCCACACCTTATTCTTCATTTTTAAATTACATTAGATGATCGTGGCACCTAACCTTTTTCATTTTGGGGGGGGGCTTACATTTTTTTTAATTTCGAGATTTATTGTTTTGTTGGAGCGGAAATTGCACTAACGATTAATATTTCAAAAAAAAAAAAAAGAAGAACTCTAAGTTCAATTTGCCTCATTTTGAAATTTACGTAAAAAAATATATATATCATTCGGTATTTAATCCTTTTTCTGAATCTAGCCAAAAATGAGGTCTACACCACCAAACCAACTCTGAATTGGTGAAATTCACGGTATACTATATGCATACTAGGTAAGAAAAATGAATGTTTACAAGAAGAACGTAAGGTGAAGAAGTAACATTTTTCAATTACTTTTCCCTTTACACCCAAATCACATACATTCTAAGACAATATATAGATTTTTAGGATCATGAACTAATTAGACGATTAACACTTGTAATTAACTAATCATTTTTACTAAATCAAACTTCCAAGGATATAAATATAAGAAAAGAAAATTGACAAAAAAGAAAAACACTAAGAATGGTGGTAAATGGCAATACAGAATTGTGCGTTCCAAATGTCTGTGGAGGAGTAAAAGAGGTGGGGGAGGGCGTGGCGTGGGAGTGGGACGTAGCTTCTTGGAATCTGTTGACCCGGTCCCGTGACGCTACATGACGTCACCCGCAGTGGGGGTGACGTACCACAATGCGCAACTACCGTTGACGTTCGAGTCTTCGCCATTTTATAATTCCGCCTCTGCCCTCACCCACAACCCCCCCTCCCCTCCACCTCTCCTCACATTCCTCCATTTTCTCCGCTCTCTCTCTCTCTCTCTCTCTGTTCTCTCATAATGCATCAAGCCATTCCATATAGGACCTGGATCCCCGCCGGAGCACGTGCCTCACGTGACCTATCTCCTGCTGCGGCCACCCCGGTTGAGTTCTCCGGAGGAATTACCGCACAGGCCAATGGCGCGGATCCCGGCACCGTGGCCACGATGGTATCGGAGAACGCGGTGATAATAATCGGAAAACGCGGGTGCTGCATGTGCCACGTGGTGCAAAGGTTGTTACAAGGCCTTGGCGTGAACCCCCCCGTGTACGAGGTAGCCGAGGCGGACGAGGCCGCCGTGGCCGCCGAGCTGTCCAGGAAGATTGGGCTCTCCGGCGGCGGCCAGGGAGTGCAGTTCCCGGCGGTGTTCGTGGGAGGGAAGTTGTTTGGAGGGTTGGAAAGAGTGATGTCCACACATATCTCCGGCGAGTTGGTTCCGATCCTGAAGGATGCTGGAGCCTTGTGGCTCTGATGATGAGAATCTGACTGGATAATTACATAGATACATACATATACACTTGTCCATCCCATGATGTTTGTGTCTGTTTCATGATTGGGTCTTGTTAATTATGAGCTCATCATACTCTCCCCTGGTTAATGTTGTTTAAGTTCTACTTCGCGGAGAGATAATATTGTTTCGATTTTTGTTTCCGGGATCCTTGGAAACTAGTTCTTGGAGAGCAAGAACCGGGTTGAAAACCAGGAATTAGAGTTTAGAGAGCTTTTTGTACATTATTGATCCCACTGAATTGAGAGTTTTTATGGAAAGTTATGCAGGGCTATACCAGATTCATCATGTTCATTTTCCCCTCTGGTGACTATCTAATACAATTTCATTTACTGGCCAAATTCAATTTGATTATATACTACCTCCTCCTCCAGTCTTTAATAAGAGATTTTAAATATAAAACTTTGGTCCATTTTGTCTATCATATTTATCTTTTTTTCTAAGGTAGTTCTTGTAGTTATTGTATATATTAAATGTTTTATTAAATGACACTTGATTAGTAAGAGTATTTTAAGAAAAACAACACCAAATTATCACAAACAACTAACTTAATTAATTTATTAATTTACTTAAATTAGTGAATTAGTTTTTATATTAAGGATTGAAAATAGTATATTACTAGGTCTAATTGGGTATAATAATTTTTTTAATATGATTTTATGACTAAATTGAAGTCCCACTCACTCGACTCAAATAAACAGTACATTATTGATGTTCTATGCTAATCTTGTTTCTATTATTAATTGTAATTGATGCTAATCGTTGACTATATATATGTTTAGAAGTTCCTGTTTCCTTCAGATGCAGCTGGTGGGTTCGCATTCAACTGTAAACATGAGTTTCTTCTTCTTCTTGGTTTTTTGTTTTACCAATACGTACGATTTTCTTCTTCTATGCGATACATTTGTTGTGTGGCATAGAGATCTCGAACGATAAAATGAAACTAAAAAAAAAGAATAAATAAAAATGTGGTCTGCATAAATTTAAAAGAAAAAACGAAAGAGAAATAGAATGCTTCAAATGATTAGAATTGCGACCAATAGTTAATTTAATTTAAGTTGTAATATAATAATAGCGTGTGATGTGGGTAGAAGTGAAGAGTAATTTCCGTAGTTCAATAGGGAGGTTGCTTTTTATTAGCATGCTTCTAGCTAGTAATTTTAATATTTTCATTGAATTTTATAGAACATATATAATAACATTATTCCGTCCCCCTCACACAGAAACCTTTTGAAACCAAATTGTATCCAATGAAATAACTAAATTTGAAAGTAGCATTAATGCCACCGGCTAAATAACCCGCCCTTTTTCCTGGGTTTTTCCTTCCATTAAGGGAATGGAGATGCATGAACCGTACAGAAAACAATATTCTATGTATAAAAAGTTTGAATTTTTAATGGTCAATTTTTTTAGCTCAATTTTTTTTAAGGTGGTTACGTCAAGAATATTTAACCCTTGATCATCGATCACTCCTTGCTGGCATCTTAACTGCCTAGTTGTAGGTGATTTTGGCTTACATTTTTGGTTGTTGATTCAATGACTGGGTTGTTTAATCACTTTAATTATATGACTTGGAAACTTTTTGTTGTTTCCAAATCATCATTACTGAATCAAACCTTTTTGTTTTCCCGCCGCTGATCGAAAACTTTATCATTTATTGACTTATGAGGCAGCAAAGATGGATCCATCTGTCTAGCACATTACCGTTGGTGAATTACCCTGCCCCGGTAGTCACATGAGAAAAAGGCGTGTTGTGATTTAGTCAAATTACAAGCCCAAGTTAACAAACCCAATAATTCAAATATTGACAAATTAAAGTGCTCTCATTTCTTTAACTTTTTATCTTTTAATCTAGTGCAATTTTTTTAAAACACATTTGAGTAAGCTGATTTTGCCTGGCAAAAAAAAGGGTTAAAATACAAATATACCCACGAAATATTTGAGATTGCGCATCTAGCATCATAATATTTACTTGGATACCAAAGTGCCCATAAAAATTTTAAATGTATCATGGTTAATTTAATTAACTTTTAGAACTTAAACTAATGTGGGACTTGCTATTAAAAAGTAACGGACGTTTTGTTTAAATAAATGGCCATGAAAGTTTGGGAATTTTTACGATCACCTTGCTTTTGCACCCAAAATGAATATTATGATGCTGTGTACACATTCACTGATATTTTATAAATAGATTTACACCATAACTCAGGAATGAATCTAAATTTGGGTTTGAAGACACGAAAGAAAGCAGAGGAGCTTGTGGCTGCAGTCGAAGCAAGTGCACTCCACTTGGTGCAGCAACTTGAGTAGGAGTTTGCTTCACTGAAAGATGATGAAATGGCAGATCGCTATCACATAATATTCGCAGTTGTCCACATTAATATATGCGCCACGAAAGAATTTGAGACATTATTGGTCACACAGCCTTTTTTGATGTGTCTGCTACGAGAATAGAATATGCGCCTTTATTTGAAATTGTTAGTTTCTGCAAAATCGTCAATTCAATGTGGGGAGCGCAGATAATTCCCTTCAAACATTCCAATGGATGCAGCCATTCCTGGATATTGAAAGTCAGACGGCAATATATAACTGTTATCTTGCACGTTTCATTTCAAGAACTTCATTATAATTTATCTTCCTTGCTAAAAGAAGAGAAATTGAATTCAAATTTCTATAAAAACTAAAAAAAATGTTTTCAATGCTTAAAAATAATTACTCATTCATGAAGAGTAGCTATAAATAAATAAAATCATAAACAAAATGACACAAATAATTCACACCGTTAGAAGTTAACAATGTGAGATGAAGTTGAATGGATGCAATAAGATGAGCGGGGCAGGCAGAGAATAGCATTTGTATCCATCCCTCAGCATGGGTTTTGGGTTAGGCCTACATTTGTTGGGCTTGGTTTTAAATTATGGACAGAAGCAAAAACATCTCATTCGGGTTCAGTCCAGTGGGCTTCGGCTGGGTCGGCTCATTTTTGCGACCATAAGATTGGTTATAGGTACTCAACTGGAGTTAGTAAATGTCTTTTTATAATTGCGTATAAAAGAGTGTAATTGCACCATTTTGGGTGGCAAAGAAGCAAACTGGCCATATTGGCCCATTGTGGAACTCAAAGCAAGAGTCTTGGGAAGATGAAACATTGGGAATTATCGATCAGAGTTGATCTAATTGATAAGTAGTCAACACATAACTCATAATATCATGAATTCGAATCCTATCATCGATGTGAGAATATTGTTGGCGAGCCATTTGTAAATATTTATGTAAATGTTTTTTGAGAATGATAGTATGTCTTGATTCTGGTAAGTTTTTGAGACCTAATTTACTAAGAGGGTGTTTGTATAAAAACTAAACTATGATTTTAGAAATGATTTTACGGTATACGAAATAAATACGTGGAGAAGTTTATCTCGATTTGTAGAAAAGTGTTTTTAAAAAAGCACTTCTCCTAATTCCCAAAAACCTCCTTAAATTTTTTTGTTAACAAAAAAAGAAACATGGGGAATTGTTGTTGTGCCACGTATACAGGCTCATGTGAAGCAGTCTTGCCGTTCATTGCGGCACAATTAGACCGTTACCAAGGTGTGTGCGGGCGCGCGCGCATCACATTATTCCTGCTTTTATTCAAATGTTAGACGTTGAAACTAATGAACATACCGCTGGTCAAAAAAATGGGAAAACTAATTTGGAAGTCCTTATAATTTATATCAGTTTGGAATCAGGTCCTTGTAATTTTTTTCTTTTTATTAGATCCTTTAACTTTCTCCTGTTAGGTCCATTAATCCTACAGTTAATAAGACAAACACCGTTATAACTTTCTGTTAAATCTTCTCATCACCTACCCCCCATTCGCCCAACTCACTGTCCTTCCACGGTAAATATCATCAGGCAGTACATCGAGTACGCTCTGCAAAAATTATAGCATCTGGTTTGCTTTAGGTTTGAAGGCCAAGAAGGAAATGCGTTCCTGGGTCATGTCCATATAGCTCACAGGG